TTACTTCGAACTTACCACGGTTCAGACGCGGTCCACACGGGGCAGGCAGGCTCCCCCGTCGACTCCGCGGTACTCCTCTCGTTGAGATGGAGTACCGCAGTCGACGGCGAGCACTTCCTGGTTCGATTTATCGCGTCCAGACCAGACGCGATAAATCGAACCTGGAAGTTCGATCCCCAGCCGCCGAACTAGCGGCTAAGTATAGACCAGCCCTAAGTTATGACTGGAGGGTGAGGTTAAATCCCCTCTCGAATCCTCCTTTCTGTTCACTTTGAACCATACCAAGTCTTTTATCGCTCTTGAAAAATTGTTCATTTTTCTGTCTCCTACACATTTCAAAGTATTAACGGATCTCCTACAAAAGAAAATCTATAGGTTTCTTGCAGAGATTTCAGATTCTGTCTGAGATGGTTATTTTATCTTCCAGAGTTTGAATCTGGGATGACTTTGTCCACCACTGGAATATATCTTTGATATGCTCAGTAAGTCTTCTAACTCTGCTTTGTCCTTTACATTCATCTCTTCATCCACATGTTGGAAGTGTCACAATAAATCATCTAATTTCTTTTGTGTTCTCATAACTAAGAGTTTTGCAGCATTAGGTCTTCAACACTGGCTTTTTTAAATCTTGTCTCTGACTCTCAAAATTCAACCCTTCATGATTTTAAATAGCTTTAGCTGCTCAGCCCCGCCAAATTTCCCATTTTGTGCAGTATAGTAGCATTACATGGCAGTTCCCATAATGCAATCCAGCTTTTCAGTTCTACCTTATCATTTGCTGATCCTGAAGCCACTGGCTTCGTTGAGAACAGAATTAGGTCCATCATTAGTACAACTAGGTCCCCATTCAGCAACACACTTAAGAACAAGTATATGAATAACTTTAAAGAAATGCTTAAATGCTTGGCTGAATTGGGGCCTTAATCTACAAAGTAATCCTTTCCCTTGAAATGAAAGAAGGGGGAGGATATAGGGGACAGACTCCATTGTAACTGAAGAAACTAAAAGTACTGTATATACTCGTTCATAAGCCAAATATTTTTGGTAAAAAAGTGACGCATCAAAGAGCGGGGGTCAGCTTATAAACGGGTCTACACCAAAATTTGATGATTTTAAACTCTATGGAATCATTGAATTGAATATCTAATACATTGTCGTTTTGTTTACCTGGAGCGTCTGCAGGCATGGAGCCCCTCAGCTCTAGAAATTGCAAACTCCATGAAAAGCACCCCTTCTGCTCCCTTTGTTCAGGGGCGGCTCCAGGCACCAGTGCAGCAAGCGCGTGCCTGGGGCGGGAAGCTGTGGGGGGCGGCCTGTCAGTTGTTGTGAGGGCGGCAGTCAGGCAGCCTTCGGCGGCATGCCTGCGGGAGGTCCTCGGGACGGATACGCCAAAGCTGCGGGACCGGCAGATCACCCGCAGAAACACCGCCGAATCCGTGTGACCGCGGATCACCCACAGGCATGCCGCCGAAGGCCGCCTGACTGCCGTGTTTGGGGCGGCAAAAAACATAGAGCCGCCCCTGTTTTTGTTATTCTCCAGCAAGCACTGAATTAGGGACAAACAACCAGACCTGATCTGCTACAATAGGAGATGTTCTAAATGCTACAGTGATGCTAGGGTATGGGGGAAGAGTGTTGATGAGAACTGCAGCCCATCTCAGGAGACAGAAATAGGAGCAGCACTGATGATAAGACAAATGAGATGAGATACTTGGTCATAAAACCAATACACACTGAATAATTTTGTCAGTTTTCAAGTTATTACTTAGCAGGCATGGAAGTCACAGTCACTGTTTGCTTTTGTCTGTGAATTAGGAATTATTTTGCACGTTTGCATTAGAGTACATTCGGATAAAACTGCCCTTAATATATCAGACAAAATGCATTTATGGGGAATCTTCTCCTCCCCCACACCCTCCGACCCGGCTGTTCCTTTAATCACAAAATAGTGAGACACGGGATCCAATCAATGCTGGGGCCATACTAGGCAAGTGACAAATCATTATACTTCTGAAAATTATTAATCTTAGTGGCGCTGTGCTGGTGTGCGGTGATTTACTGAGAACGAAATAACCTCACAATGCTCAATTTAAAATTGGACATGGGTTCTGAATAATGACACACATTTACTGACGTGATAAAGCAATTGAATAATGTGGATTCATTTGTAACCAAGGAAAAAAGAGCTGTACTACTGAAGATCAGATTGATGAATATGATGCCCAAAAAAAAATTTCCAGGGCAAAATGCCTGAACATTTTTCTAGTTGGGAAAAGGAGACTTAATAATCAAAGTGTTAAGGTGAGATGGCTTTTTGAATTAGCCTTTCCCCCAGATGTGCCATTACAGGGGAAAGTTTAGAAGAGCTTTTAATTAAGGGTTGAAGTAGGAACTCAGTGTAACAGTGGTGGGGCTCATAAGCTTGCTGCACAGGTACAATTCACTGGCCCACATGGCAGACATATGGCACAGAGTAAGGAATGATCCAGACACCTGCATTTCCCCCAGGGTCATTACATGAAGAAGTAGCATGTGCTGCATATATGGTTCAGAAGTTACTGGGCTCAAAATGCAAGATTGTATGGCATGTGTTATGCAGGATGTCAGACCAGATGATCACAATGATCCCTGAAATCTATGAATCTCAGTGCAACCAGCCAGGCTACTGTAACTCTTGAATTTCCCTGTCCACTGGATACCTCAGTGCCTGCTTCTTTTTTGTCTCTTCTGGTCAAGCACCATAGATTTAGCTCCCCTCACCTATGGCAGTTCAGAAATAGAGACCCTTTAAATTGAAAGTTTAAGAAGCCAGAACTAGTCTGTTATAAAGTGGCATAGAGCCACTGAAGTCAATGGAGCTACTCTAGTTTACATCAGCAGAAGATCTGGCCCTAACTTGTCTTTTGGACATACTGTGAAACCAATCTCTTTCTGCAGGCTTTATTTATTACTACTCATTTGGTGGTGGATTATGAACAACTATAGCTATAAGGTAGAAACAATGCTAGTATATGTATTTGATCTGAGTTTAAAAAATGTAGAAGGTCCCCAGAACATGGGATGGCTTCTTGACTGCCAGGTTATTGGAGGGGTGGGGGGTGGAGAGAGAAGAAATAACAAAGCTATAAACCCTCAGTTGCCACAACTCACTCTGCAGTCCTGATTTCCCCACCCCCCAAAAATTAGGCAAACCCTTTGCTGAGTCTAGTCTGCTTCTATGTATGTATTTATTTGTATTCAGATAAGTAAGTCAGTGAGATTTTTTTTTGTTCTGACAAATGGCAAAGGTGCTCTCAGCCCAGAAAACAATTTGTGTTTCAATTTGAGAAGGAAAAGATTAACTTTCTAATGGTCAGCTATATGAACTATTAACTTTTAAAGTATTTATACTTACTATTCAAATGATGTACTCAAAAGAGTCGTGCTCCAGGGGTTAAATGTACAGTAGGCATATTGATTCTAAATTAATTAATTAAATAGGCATTTTAACCAATAGGCAATTCAAAAATCCTTTTAAAATTTATCATGCTGTGTCTGGCACACACATCTGCTTGTATGTTGTTTTCCCGTCCCCTGGTATTTCGCTGTTTGATTTTGTAAGTCCTTCAGGCCAGACTATGTTTCTATGTTTGTATGGTGCCCAGCACAATGGGGACCTGATTAAATATTTAATAACCATAATTAAAGATAGGCAGGAAGTCAGTTTTCCCATCCCAGGAAAAATTTTGAGAGTCTGAAAAACTTTCCATCCCAAATCAGGACAAAAAGCTGATAACTCACAAAATTTCGCAGAGTTGAAATCCTGCAATATTTTGTTTTAGAAACAAATATGCTCTCTGGAAATATACTCATCCAGCTGTAGAGGCTGACTGAAATTGACATAATGTCAGTTTCAGAGCTGCATATCACTCAATAGCTGCAGTGAAACTGAACAGACTCTTGCTATCAGCCTGGGATCCATGCAAAGTTCATAGTAATCTAATCAGTCCCACAAAAGATTTTGACAACTCAGCTAATTCCAACAACAAAAAGTTGTGTTTGAATTTTTTCAACCAATTCTAACAACATGCAGATTATGCTTGATTTCTATGAACTCTAGGTCAGGTGCTAGGGGGTCTCACCCCACTCTCATTGAAATAAATGACAAAACTCCCATTGGTTTCAGCAGAATCTGGTTCAGACCCTAATTACCTATTTAAAAGACTTATTAATTTATTAATAAAACAATCTGTTATTTTCCTAAATTTTCTCCTACTTTGAAACCAAGTTTCAGCCCAGACTGAAATATACAAGTTGGCACCATAAAGAGGTTGCCAGATAGTTTAGTGGCAACACAATGCCTGTCCAGAAGTCCAAGCATACTTACCATTCTTGTTGATAGTCTTCATAGTGAGGCCATATAGCATATAGGCACAAATATTGAATGATATCTGACCTCTCCAGGTCAAGAATTAGGCTCACTGTGGGGGTTAGATTGTGAAAGTTTGAACTGCTGTGTCAGATTCCCTACCCATCTCTTCTGTCATACTGGCCTCCATCACATTTCTGTGTATCACAAGCATGCTCAGATATCTGTGCTTTGGTCATGAGTGAAATGAGTGTTACTGCCAACTATGTTTCCAGGGGACATTTGTCCATATCTCATAGCCACTTTATTGTTTGGTGCAATTTCATTTTTGTCAGTTTAAGCACGACTAAAGGCTGTGACTAGGAATAGCAGGGGTAGTTCGCTGCTGTGATTAACAAGCAAGGGCAGAATTCTGACTGCATGATTCTAGCTAGCACTGTTAATCCCTCATTTTCAAGAGCACTAAAAAACAACCATACAACAGATCAACTTACATATTCTAAGATCCCTTCCAGAATAGAGACAAAAACAGAAAATCATTCAAACATATCAGGAATATGTACTGAAAACTTAATTAGAGGAAGAGGCAGCATATGTAAGCTATGATCTTCATGCACTTTGTTCAGAAGCATAAAGCAATTTTACATTTTACCTGCATTTTGTAGAAATCTCTTCCAGTTAAAAGTTGCACTGGGTGTGGTCATAATTCCTAGATTCAAGGGAAGAAAAGGACAACATGTTTTACTTAGACCTAGGGTGGCAGAACTATAGCTCTTAAAATTTGTACTGAGTGAATAATGTCTTTGTCAAATACTCTAAATCCCACTTGAAACTGTTCCCATTTCAAGCTTTTCCTTTCCCATGTACATTTCCTTGCCTAGAATTTCTGTAGCATTCAGTTTGATTTTTCCAATTTAGGTTCCAATATTTATACCTTGGGCCAAATGCACTCAGAGGGTGCAAATCCATGGAAGTCCACAGAGTCATGCCTACTTGCACCAATGTTGGTTTGGCCTCTTAATACTATGTTGTTGTCTGGATGTCTCATAGGTAGATTTTACTTGATGGGAAAATCATCTGGATTGGTTCTGAAACATATACCAAAGGGGAGAGGGATAGCTCAGTGGTTTGAGCATTGGCCTGCTAAACCCAGGGTTGTGAGTTCAATCCTTCAGGGGGTGATTTGGGGATTTAGTTAGGGATTGGTCCTGCTTTGAGCAGGGGGTTGGACTAGATGACCTCCTGAGGTCCCTTCCAACCCTGATATTCTATGATCATGGAATAAAAAAACATCATGCCCAAATCCTTTGATGTCACTACCAAATTATATGAATATTTAATCTCTTAATAAATCTTAAACCCTTAACCCCACAATACACATTTAAAAAAAAATTTCTTTAGAAGGCCAAAGTTAAACATCTAAAATTTTATTTTCACATTCTACAGTTGGTTAGTTTAGTAACATAACCAGCAGCTGAAGCAGCCACATTTAAAATGCTAAGCTAGGTCTTAATTTTTACGAAATATTACCTAGATGGCACCATAGATGTATATGGCGCTTTACAAACAGAATGCATCACATTCCCTGCACTAATTGTCCAACCAAGATTTTCAAAAGCAAATCCTGATTTTGGGTGCCTCCAACGTGAGGCATGTTAAAGGAGCCTGATTTTTAGAGAATGGGGGCTCAGCACTTTCTGAATATTAGAAGTGAAGAGTTTATGCAAAGCTCACTGAAGTCTATGGAGGACTCTCACTGACTTCACCATGCTTTGGGTCAGGCCCATAAATGTGTCATGTTGGGCAGCTGAAAGTTGAGTCACCCAAAATCAAGAGTTCACCTGAAAATCTAGGTGAAATCTTGGCCCAATGAAGTCAACAGCAAAACTCTGACTCCAGTGGAGCCAGGCCATCATCCTATGTCTATTTCAGCAAGTACTTCTGTATCACTTGAAAAATCCACATAAGTAGGCATCATAAGGGTAGCAAGCTTCAAAACAAGCACATACCTTGAATATTTCAAAACTTACCTTGAGTCTGGATGTATATTTTGCTTCTAGCATCTGGCTTTAAAGAGAGGAGAGCAAAAGAGTAAATTTCATTGCTCACCCTTCCCCCCAAAAAACTGTTCAGACTCAAAATAATCTAGTGCAGTAATAGGGTCAACTACATAGTTGCCCTTTGAGTATTGAGAAGCAAAAGAGACCAGCTGTATTTCTAATGGGTTTTTGACCATTAGAAAGGAACACTTTTGCAAGGTCAAATGCACAAGAAGATCAGTGATTAAAATTAAGTTTAATCAATCTTTATAGTATCAACCAACCAATTTTGCAATTTGATACAATTACCAGATTAATATAAAACCTACTTTTTCGCTTATGCCAATGACACTTCTAGCATCCATTAGCCTGCTCATTGCACGGAGAGAGAGAGAACTATTTCTCTGCAGAAGGAAGGCTGTAGCTTCCAAAAACACTGGGACTAGCAGAAAAACCATAATTGGTTTAAAAGCCACAGAATCAGTTTAATCAAAGTGCATTTATCTAAAAAGGTCCTTTCAAACATATCAAGCAAGAAACCCCACTTATCTCTCACAGCATCTTTTGTCAAAGACTGCTGCCGAATATATATGGGCTTATCTACGTGTGAAAATTGACCGGCATAGCTATTCTGGAGTAACTGTTCCGCTATAGCTTCTGGAATAACTCCCCTCTGTGGACACTACTCTTCCAGAGGTATTCTGGAATAGCTACACAGTGCAGATATAGCTGTTTCCGCCACGTAGACAAAGCCTATGTGTTTAAACAAGGGCTTGCTCCTTCACAGCCTACCTAAATAACCTACCTTGCCTAAATAGCTCAGACTGAGTATTGTGGTAAGGAGTTGCCCACTGGGGCAGAGAGTCCCTATCTTATCCAGAGTTTGGCATCCAGATATAAGTAATTTAGGATATTCACCTGTATCAGCAGATTGTGAACCTGCACATCACCCACCCTTAAGGCTGTGAAATCACAAGTGCCAGTTTTTTCTCTTAATTAATTAGCCTCTTAGAGTTGGTAGGACAACTCCTACCTTTTCATGTTCTCTGTATGTGTATATATATCTCCTTACTATATGTTCCATTCTATGCATCCGATGAAGTGGGCTGTAGCCTACGAAAGCCTATGCTCAAATAAATTTGTTAGTCCCTAAGGTGCCACAAGTACTCCTGTTCTTTTTAAGTGCCAGATAATGACTTTATGGCAGGAAGAGATGCGCTGTTTTGAGAAGAAAGCCCCATTCAAAAACAAATGTGAAACAACTGCACATATTGTTTTTCAGCTTTGTCCTATGTGACTGGCCCTCTCTATAGCTCAGTCATCATGTTCAGTTTCAAGTACTGAAAATTAACAGCAACGGAAACGAGAGAGAAAGTAATTCAGGAGGAAGTGGTATGTCATCAGTCTGAAATAGCCCAGTCAAGGGGATAGGAAGTTCACTGGAAGTCACTGAACTGGCTACTTCACAAACACTCCTCAGACGAACACCAGTGCTGTAATTAAAGGGGGACCGGGGCTGACAAGAATTATGCTGTTTAGATTAGGTCTTTCCATAGTCATGGGCTGCACCCTACAGATCCTGTATGAATATTCTTATTCCATGGGTTGCCCTACAGATCCTGTATGAATACTCTTATTCCATGAGCTATAAAAAAAAAAAAAAAAAAACAGCTTTAAGAGGTATGCAACAACATAAACACGTCTCAGATATAGCGTAACAAATAACCTCTCATATTTATATAGCACCTGTCCGTCCAAAAGAGCTCAAACACGTCATTAAGTATACACGGAGAGCAACGGTGGGGAGGAGGATGGCAACCAATTGTTCTGCAATTTGATGCGTGGACAAACTAGGGAAGTTGGAAATCTGGGCTAGGAGACTGAAGCAAACCCCTACAAAGAAGGCCAGGAGATCATTAGGGTGGGATTTTTAGAAGTGTTCAGCAGCATCTAATTCTGCTCCCCTTGAAATCAATGGCAAAACTCACTATAACTGCAATGGGAGCAGTGAGGCCAATACTGAGAGCTTCTGAAAATCTCACCCTTAATGTCCACACAGCAAATAACTTCATTACACACATGCAAAGGATCAGATCCTCAGCATAAACTGGAGTAGCTGCATTGAATCTGATTTACACTAACTGATGATCTAATCCAAATAATTCAAGGACCTCACAGAAACCATGAAAAAACAAAGCAATTCCAAGTTCAAAATCGGAGCTAACTGTTCTTGCTAAAATAAAAACCGCAAGCGTTGCCAAGATCCCCACATGTATTTATATATCTTATAATGCTCTGCGTACAGATTGGACTTTCTTGGCTCAGTATTTGTCCTTTCCCTTGCCTGGAAATACCATAACTGCTTAGGATCTAGTATGTCACTTGCTTAACAGCTAAATTACAAACCCAGTGAGTGTACAAAAATACAAAGCTAAGCATGAGTCTGAAAACTTTCAGTTATGCACTAAAGTGGAAAAAAATAATAAAGAACATATTGTAACCTAGAATATTCTTTATAAGAGCACCTGTGGAGAGCACACTACCTCAAACTATAGTTCTATGCTGTCACCAGACTAGGCATTCTTGCTGAAACAAAGATTAATGAATGATGCATAGGTGAACTGTACACTGAGCTGAGATTATGGAAGGTTGGTTGTTTTTTAGGACCACAAACCCTTTATCTGCAGCCTCATTTGTCAATGACACTGAAGAAACATAAAACAGGGATGCTCTAGTCAGTTCCAATGGGAACATTAAAGAGTGTCCAATGATAATACGTGTTTAAATTGTATCATCTAACTTAAATTCTTATTAAAAATGTACAAAATGACACCCTCTCATTTAAAATTAACTAGATTTTATATTACAAATCTGGAAGGGATGATATATGTATGTATTTATTTATATCTTAGTGACTCTTTGGGGAGGTGAAAATTCACCATTGGTCTGTTCCTTTGAGGATCTGGCTACTCTCAGAGATTTTTACGGTCAGAAGGGACCATTAATATGATGTAGGCTGTGAAATTCATCAAGTAATAGCTGCATCTAGCTTGTATCTTGTGTTTTAGAAAGGCATCCCATGTTGATTTAAAGATGTTAGCTTTCAAGTCCATTGTCTCCAATGGGAACTTTTGGTGCTCAGAACCTTGTAGAATATACTTGAAAAGTGAAGAATTGACCCCTCTTTTATTTAGCACGAACATAGGATTCAATTTCACTGTACTGTATGATATTTATTGTACAAAGATGATTGTATTGATACAGTTTTTTTTAACCATTTCTTGATTCGGATACTATTGAAAGACTGTGTCTCAGAACTATCAGATATAAACTCAGAGCCTTATCTTGCTGTTACTTATAGGATGTGAATTTCACATTTCCATGTATATTTTAGAAGGCAAATCACATGGCTCTGAAGAAGTGAGGTTCTTACCCACGAAAGCTTATGCTCCCAATACTTCTGTTAGTCTTAAAGGTGCCACAGGACCCTCTGTTGCTTTTTACAGATTCAGACTAACACAGCTACCCCTCTGATTCCTAATGAAAGATACTTTATCCAATACAATGAAAGTTTGTTGGAGGATATGACCCTCTGAGTACCATACAATTTCTAGTACTTGCTAGGAATTTAAATTCGTAATTTACTGACTAACTAAGAAAGCACACATTGGAGGAGTGATGCAGCTCACGTTAGTATGAAATAATGGGTAAGTAATCCTAATATTCTCAGGAGAATAGCACAGAAAAGTGCATTTGTGTTTCTCAGTGTTTGTAGTTGAAATGTCCATGTCCTATGCTTTTTCTTAGAGGATCGGGTGTTTTATTTGAAATAACAGTACTTAAGAGCCAGGTCACTAGCCTAGGACTCGGGAGAGCCTTCTCTGCCACAGACGTCCTGTATGCTCTTGGGCAAATCACTTAGCTTCTCTGTGCCTCAGTTTCCCATCTGTAAAATGGGAATTATAGCACAGTCCTGCCTCACAAGAGTGAGGGAAGGATAAATACACTGAAAGATTGTAAGGCGATCCATTACTATGGTGATCGGAGCCATACGTACCTAAGATAGATTTACAGAAGCAATTAGATGGCTAACTGCTAATATATTAATTACTAATAGCCAACATTATCTGTGCCCAGATAAAAATGACTTGCCTAAGGTTACTGAGGGAGTCAATGTCAGAACCAGGGTTAGGAATTCCAGAGTCCAAGTTTACTCCTTTCCCCAATCTTTTGTCCAGCATTTTGTTTTGTCTTTTTCAAGTGTAAGCTCTTTGGGGAAGGGACCAACTCTTTATATGCTAGTATAGTGCCTAGTACATTGTGGTCACTACTGACAACAAATAATACAAAATTACTAGACCACACATCTCTTTGGGTGTCCTTTTAATGAACACGACAAAATCAGATTAAAATCAATTAATGGTGAAGAAACTGTAGACAGTATTAGTGTGCAATATTAAACTGTTTGGACATGCGGGCTGTACCTCCAAACAGTTTTCTGTTGGTGGAGGGAAGGGTGGTGAAGCAAATGCCTAATGGGAAATGATTGCATGATTATGGAAATTAAAATTGAAGAGATGGTACATGCAGTTAGTTCCTATTGCTGTTGGTGATTATTAGATCAGAAATAAGGGAACACGTGGAGAGGAGGAGAAGGAATGAATTGTTAAGAGACGAATACCCTCTTAAAAAATGCCTGGAGTCAGTCATGTTGCAGCTCATTCAGTCAGGCTAGTACATGCAAACCGTGCAAATTTTCTGAGTTCATTTTGCCGTGTGAACAGTCCAGGTGGCAGCCAAGGGATTCCTGTTGCTATCTAGTATCAGAGGGGTAGCCATGTTAGTCTGAATCAGCATTCACCCACGAAAGCTTATGCTCCAATACTTCTGTTAGTCTTGCAGGTGCCACAGGACCCTCTGTTGCCTGTTGCTATCTGTAGATCAGTTTCCAAAGGAACTGCTGTTTCAATTAATGAATGGACCAAGTTCTGGTATACTGTAGGAGTGACTCCCAAACAAGCTTGCAATAATGTAAAGCAGTGGTTTCAAGCACCTGTATTTGGATCAAAATCACTCCCCAAGCAGAAGCATTGTATTATCTGGAGCAACTGGAGAGCAGACCTGCTACACCAACCTCTTAAGCTATGCAGTATGTACTCCCCTTTGAACTTGGCGAGCTCTGCCACCTGGTGTGGAGGATGGGTTGGGCCAGGGCCTCCACAGCTCTCTTTGGGTTTGTTAGAGCTGCTAATGACACTAGCCAGGAGCAGTCTTTGTACTCAAGTCAGGGCAAAGACTGCAGCTGTGCCCAGTTCCTTGTGCCTTCCCCATTCTTAAGCATCTGTGAAGGGTCCAGGTTCCGGCCTTGTCTACATTTGGCATTGGCCCCAAATACAGCAATTTGGTGGCCAGCCACAAGTGTAGCTGCCCTAGTGCAAACACCTGTTATAGACAGGGTAAAGAACGCTAAACTGTTGCAGCTCACCCAGCTTCAAGCAGAGGTTAGCCCCACCATTACAAATAACAGTGTTGCCTGTAAGGGAGTTACAGTACTGCAGGTACAATGCTGGCTGTAATTGGGGGAATACAGGCCCTTAAACTGGTATATTATGGGCCAGATCCTCAGATGGTGTCATCTGACCTAACTCATTCAAATCAATGGAGGTTTATTGATTTACAGCAGATGAGGATCTGGCCTGAAGTTTGTAAAGCACTTCAAGGTCTTCAAAAGGAAGGTGTTATCGAAGTACAAAGTATTATTTTATTATTACAATGGATACTGTTGCATGATCTAAACTACTTCCACTCAAAACAAATAAAAAGGTTATTTCCTTTTAATATCTTCCAGCACATGCAGTGCAATTATAAAACAAAACACACGAATGACAAGAGAGGAAAAAATATGACCAAATTAAATGCTTCCAATTCTGGATTATTGGTATTTAGGTGACTGCTCTACTGCTTTTCTATTTGATGATAATTAGTGGGATTAGCTAAATTATATACTGGACCAAATTTGTTCACTAAGAAGGATTATTTAAACAAAGCAAAATCTGACAATAATGTAATTACACTAAAACCATGCCTTTAGAAAGAATGCTCAGACAGAAATCGGCGAAGAGAATCACATTTCTTGCACAACTGATTTTGTCCAACCTCATTGTCTGATTTATTTGCAAGGCCTGTTTCTTAAACTCCTTTAATTTTAGTCTCTCTCTGAAATTTGTGAGTGACTCTCTGTAAAATTTCAATGTAAGTTTACATTTTTCTCTTGTCTTTTACTTTCCCCATTCCTTTGGTCTATTCAATATATTTTTAATAGTATAATTTTAGGAAAGTGGTCATATTCACCCATGGTAGGACTACACTGACTTCAGCTCAATTACCCCCAAAATGAATTTGGAACAAGACATTTAAGATCATAGCCTCACTCTCTCACTTTAATTCCTTTTTGTTTTAGAGACTGTGGTGGCTTTAATTAATTAATTCTGGACTAAATTCTGGACTCTATGCAAAGCTCAAGTAATCAAGTGGACACATCCACCTCACTAAAAAAAATTGGATGAGGCTACTCTAATCTAATTGCCTTCTATGATGAGATAACTGGCTCTGTGGATGAGGGGAAAGCAGTGGATGTGTTATTCCTTGACTTTAGCAAAGCTTTTGATACGGTCTCCCACAGTATTCTTGCCGCCCAGTTAAAGAAGTATGGGCTGGATGAATGGACTGTAAGGTGGATAGAAAGCTGGCTAGATCGTCGGGCTCAACGGGTAGTGATCAATGGCTCCATGTCTAGTTGGCAGCCGGTTTCAAGCAGAGTGCCCCAAGGGTCGGTCCTGGGGCCGGTTTTGTTTAATATCTTTATTAATGATCTGGAGGATGGTGTGGACTGCACTCTCAGCAAGTTTGCAGATGACACTAAACTGGGAGGCGTGGTAGATACACTAGAGGGTAGGGATCGGATACAGAGGGACCTAGACAAATTAGAGGATTGGGCCAAAAAAAACCTGATGAGGTTCAACAAGGACAAGTGCAGAGTCCTGCACTTAGGACGGAAGAATCCCATGCACTGATACAGACTAGGGACCGAATGGCTAGGTAGCAGTTCTGCAGAAAAGGACCTAGGGGTCACAGTGGACGAGAAGCTGGATATGAGTCAACAGTGTGCTCTTGTTGCCAAGAAGGCTAACGGCATTTTGGGCTGTATAAGTAGGGGCATTGCCAGCAGATCGAGGAACGTGATCGTTCCCCTTTATTCGACATTGGTGAGGCCTCATCTGGAGTACTGTGTCCAGTTTTGGGCCCCACACTACAAGAAGGATGTGGAAATATTGGAAAGAGTCCAGCGGAGGGCAACAAAAATGATTAGGGGTCTGGAGCAGATGACTTATGAGGAGAGGCTGAGGGAACTGGGATTGTTTAGTCTCCAGAAGAGAAGAATGAGGGGGGATTTGATAGCTGCTTTCAACTACCTGAGGGGGGGGTTCCAAAGAGGATGGAGCTCGGCTGTTCTCAGTGGTGGCAGATGACAGAACAAGGAGCAATGGTCTCAAGTTGCAGTGGGGGAGGTCTAGGTTGGATATTAGGAAACACTATTTCACTAGGAGGGTGGTGAAGCACTGGAATGCGTTACCTAGGGAGGTGGTGGAGTCTCCTTCCTTGGAGGTTTTTAAGGCCCGGCTTGACAAAGCCCTGGCTGGGATGATTTAGTTGGGAATTGGTCCTGCTTTGAGCACGGGGTTAGACTAGATGACCTCCTGAGGTCCCTTCCAACCCTGATATTCTATGATTCTATGATTCTACTGAACTCATTTCATATGTTACTTAAATAATATTTGAACATCAATCGCTAGAAGTAAATTACTTAACACCAGATCTTGGAAATCCTAATTGAAATCTGTTCAGAAACTAGAAAACTAACCCTAGCAATTAAGGGCCTGATCCTCTGGCCAATGAAGTCGATGGCAGAGCTATCATTGACTTGAGTGGTGAAGCATTAGGGCTTAGATGAATGTTACCACATCGTTCGCCCGTGCCGCTTCTCGCCGCCCCCATTGGCCTGGGACGGCGAACCGCGGCCAGTGGGGGCCGCGATCGGCTAAATCTGCCGCGTCAGCAGGTAAATAAAACTGGCCCGGCCCGCCAGGGTGCTTACCCTGGCGAGCCGCGTGCCAAACGTTGCCGACCCCTGTATTAGGTGTATGGACTTTCATAAATACAATATACATTCTTCCAGAAACACATAGTACACGTACCAAAGAAAAAGCACAAAAGTTTTGTCCCCCCAAAATCTTTTGCTGACATCCATAACAGTTCAAAATTTATCTTTGAGTGCTACACAATTTTATTAGAAAACATTCCTTTTTAACAATCTTCTCCCATTACAGTAAAGATTAAATGTAAAGCTTACTGTAAAATTGAATTCAATGTGGTAATACATACTTCATGCAAATAAAAATAATGCTCCCACTAACAGGACTGAGAGTGTTTGGAAGAACTGGGCAACTATCAGTTAAATAATATATTCAGCAGATAATATATTATTCAATGAATTTTATTTTGCATTATTCATCCAGATCTACTGCTGATCAGATACTATCAGTCAAATAATTTCTCAAATAATGTATTTTTATCTAATATGTTATATTACAAATAAATGTATCCAGTATTTGGCCAGCTGCAGCATTTAGCATAGAAAAGTTTTTCATTTTTTTCAGAAACTAACAATTTTTTAAAAGGCATTATGTATTTTGGTGCTGTATACCTTTCACAGCCTGGGAAATAGGGGATCTCGTGTTTCTGGGCTTGGCCCAACATTCATTTTAGCTTTGTTTTCTGTGTTGAAAAAGCAAGTATTTACAAATGAATTTTAAAAATTGCTCACTGTAAATAGAGCTGTTTAGTAAAACTGGGGCAACATCCAGGGGCTTAGTAAACGATGTAAAAGGAAAGAACATAAACATACTATCAGGAGATACTCAAAAGGCAAAGGCTAGTTTTAATTGCTACGGAGCAGTACTTTAAAAACAACTATAAACTCTTCTCAAATACGAAAGACTTTCAAATGCCAGACCTATTTGACCCGGCAAAGTGCATAAATATAAAATGTTTTCTCCTCCAGAAACAAATCAGAAATACACAATATGAAGATTATTAAAATTCTCCCGCATTATTTAGAATTAAATTTTATGGTAATGCCTAGTTGATAATGCTATAATAATCATATAAACATACCCACTCTGCTGCTGCCAGTTCCTTCATTTTCTCTGTGAAAGCCACTGCAAACCTAGTTAAATGGACAAAAATGGGTAGGATCATCTGCTTAAAGTCTTTAAATATAATAATAAAGGGGCACTTCAGAACAAAAGTATATAAGAAAAAAGACTGGAAGCTGATAAAAATGATTACAGTAAGATGGAAATGCAGGAAGCAGGAATTCTATTTGTTTTGCCAAGTAGAGCTAAAGTGAGGATTTATTGCATTCAATGAAAGCCCAGACACTGGGGATGCCCACTGCCATTTATCCAGATTGACATAGTTGCCTCCAGGCTGCTCTTCCCACTTCTACTCCCAAGTTATGGTACACTTCTTTCTAACGAGAGAAGGAATCTGAAGTCCAATACAGTTAGGGCAGTGGTCCCCAATGCGGTGCCCGCGGGCGCCATGGCATCTATGTACACCCGCGTACTGGCCGGCGGACGAGCATCTGCCAAATGCCGCCAACAAGCAGCGTCATCCAGAGGCGTCCCCGCCGAAATGCCGCCGACGCCTCTGGATGACGCTGCTTGTCAGCGGCATTTTGGCGGCGACGCCTCTTGACGTTGCCGCTTCTCAGTGGCATTTCGGCGAATGCTCGTCTGCCGGCCACGGTGCGCAGTGGCTCGTCGTCTGGCGCCCGCCAGATGAAAAAGGTTGGGGACCACTGAGTTAGGGCATGTCTACACATACAGTGCTGCAGCGGTGCAGCTGTACCAATTCACACCCCCGAGCAACATAAGTTATGTCGACATAGGTAGTAGTATAGACATAGCCCTACATATTCACATTATAGAATATTTCCTTAATGAAAGAGGAATAAATAAAATTAATAAACAGGAGGAATAAATACATTAAATAAAGTAGAAAGATGGTCCACCGTTTAGGGTGCTAGCCTGGGACTCAGGAACCCCAGGTTCAATTCCCTACTCTGCCACAGACTTCTTGTTTGGCCTTGGGCAAGTGACTGAGGGCTTAGCTACATGGTGCAACAATGTGCACAAAGGGGGTGTGAATTCTGAAGTGCACTGTGTTGCGCACTCACTGGCTCATGTAAACCCTGCTGGCGCGTGTCAAAAGTTCCCTAGTGCATGTTAACATCCTATGTTAACACACATTAAGGAACCTGTAATGTGCATCAACAGGATCTACATGGGCCAGTTAATATATGCCTCCTCAATACTCCTGTGAGGAAGGTAAGTAGTATTACCCCTACCCCTTCACAGATGCGGAAACTGATGCACAGACTGCTTAAAGCCAGAATTTACAAAAGCGGTCTCTAATTTTGGGTGCCCAAATTCAGACTCACCCAGCCTGATTTTCAAAGGTCATGAGTATATCAAGCTCCAATTAAAGTCAACATCACCTACATGTTTACTACCTAAAAGTTGTATGTGCCATACAGTTATCTTTTTAAGCCTCAATTCAGGAAAATATCCTTATTCAGAACAGCTCTTAAGCACATGCTTTAATTTAATTTTCAATCCTAGTGGGATTTACACATGTGTTTCAGTTGCTGTCTTTAACTGGGTCCTTCGCAATAATGCTTTAGTGCCTGATCCACTGGGGTCCTTAGTGACAATGTCTTAGTGCCCACTGGGACTTGAGCATCTGCACAGTGCTACCCTGAACAGAGCGGCTTTCTGAAATCAGGATGTAAGGCCTCAGTTCTTTTTTTCCCCTTTCCCTATATTGGGGATAAAAGTATGGGCATTGGGGAGATGGGTTACCACATTAAATCTGTGATTCTGGCTTTGTCTTCCATAAAAGTAGTATAACAATTCTATCTTACTCTCTGTGGGTCTTATCCTGCACCTCCATGGTATGCGGGTACCAATGGGTGAGGCAATCTGGAAAGTCACAGCCACAAAAATGCTCTTTCACTAGGAGCTGTTAATGTTGTAATTTGTTGGTGTGAAGTCACAACCATTCATTAGAAGTCATAGTGCTGAATTATTATATTTATTTTCACAGTCACAAGCCTGTTTCCATGCAGTTGCTCGGCAGTATCTGCTCTACACCATTACAATGCATTCCACATATACAATTTGACAGTTTAAAGGTTATTAAAGCCTTTGCAAATGCTTGTTTTCTCAAGTTGCATATGCTCCCTTTCAAGTTTTTACAATTATACTTTCAATACATCACATTAACAAGCAGAAAAACTCTTGCTCCCAAGTCCACAAAGTACTGTCAAATTGAAAATATACCCTGGAGGTATATTTAGAGGAATTTGATTAAAAATGAAACACTCATTATAAAGCTAGACACAGTTCAATACTTTGTTTTATGGAATTTGGTGGTATATTGTGCTGGACAAGTAATCTACGATTCATGGAACTTTTCTGCTTAGAACCCTGAAATCAATAATAAAAAAATCAATTTTTATTTTAATAACTATGCAATGAATAATACTGCCAGGATGATCTGTTCACCGTAGCTTCTAGAAAACTGAATTACCTTTCCTATACCAGAGAAAACATTATGAACTCTACAAAGCACATGGTAATACATTTTGAAGCATCAGAACAAATCTAGCCTAATAAAATACCTTTAAAGTTCCTAAGGTAATTATCACAAAACTGCATTGACTACCCATAGAAGGTATTTGACATATGCAAAAGCTATGTTTTTGCAAGATTTCATATACTCTAAATACAGAAACACAGGTCACAATGGAGAGACTTCAAATTAAAAAAAATAGGGGTCCAGTTTTTATAAAAATGTTCAGTTTGCTTCTGTCTAATGTTCACAGTTAATATTTTTGTATCAATTGCCACACTATCTCTTTTCTCCTCCTCTTCCAGAGTTATTTACCACAGGTGTTTCTGAAATGAAAACTACAATGTAATATAAATGATATTCTAACCATCTGATTACAAGCAAGAATAAACTTCTAAGGCCTCGATTCAGGTCAGCACTTAAGCATCTTCTTAAATATAAGTCCCACTAGGACTTAAGCCAGGGGTGGGCAAACTTTTTGGCCCGAGGGCCACATCGGGGTTGCGCAACTGTATGGAGGGCCAGGAAGGAAAGGCTGTGCCTCCTCAAACAGCCTGGCCCCCGCCCCCTATCCGCCCCGTCCCACTTCCCGCCCTCTGACTGTCCCCCTCAGAACTCCCAACCCATCCAACCCCCCCTGCTCCTCGTCCCCTGACCACCCCCTCCCGGGACCCCCCGCCCCTAACTGCCCCCCGAGATCCCACCCCCTTATCTAACCCCCCCCGCTCCCTGTCCCGACTGCCCTCCCGACCCCTATCCACATCCCTGCCCCCTGACAGGCCCCCCGGGACTCCCACTCCCAACCCTCCCTGTTCCCCAGCCCCTGACCGCCCCCCCAGAACCTCCGCCCCATCCAACCACCCCCTGCTCCCTGACTGCCCCCCAGGACCCTCCGCTTCCTTATCCAACCCCCCCCCCCGCCCCCTTACCA